GCCAAAGGAGTGGCGGTTTTTATCACTCGCCAATAGGGGGGACTACTTAAATTTCAAAAATGTAGCTAGTCGTATGGGTCTATATATAATTTTAATTCACAGAATATGTCACTCGGAAGTAAATAATTCTTTTTTTATTTTAATGTATTTGTTTCACAATGACGATATTTAATTATAACTGTTGATTTATCATAATTTTTATAATACTTAACTTAGAAAAATAAACAGCTCAGCTCCAAGAGGGGAGGGATGTTGCCCTCTTAGACACCCCCTTAAACCCGCCCCCGCGCCGAAGCGATGTACTGCTCCAATGATGCGTTTGCCGTGATAAAGTTCGTCACTCTATGTTCTCGAGTAGTAAAAAAATAATATAGAGGAAATCGGTAGGTACTGTGATTTTATATGATTATGTAATGCCCAAAACCTAAATTTGTGTCTCGTATTATATTTGTGTTTATAGTCAACAAATGCAATCGTATTTTCGCAAGGCTCGACCATACATGTGGTCTCTCATTGGCCCCGCCTAATGAAATATTTTGGGGCTTTCATCGGATCATTTGGATTTCTCGAGATGGTATTGCTAGAATATCTTTGGAAAACCCTCTTCATAGTGATTGGCCGTATTTATTTGTTTATTTATTTTTTTTTTTTTTTTTGCTCAACAAATTTCTTGTTGTTATGGAACCCGGAAACGATTATGTTAAATGTTTTAAAAATTCTCAAGCTATTGTTGTTTCTGAGAATCAATATAAATCGCAGCTACATTTGTCTTGTCCGCATAATTATCATATTCTATTATATCAATCTTTCAAACGACTGTATAATATTTTCTTGATATTTTTCGCGAACAATCAACGTCATACACGATGGAAGCCATTTGTCAACGTGTTTGCCTACACGTGTTTGGAAATTGCCGTTGGGGGAACGAAAACCAATTTTTGGACGTCAACTACACTCGCAGATTTTTTCGGAAATGCTGTCTCTGTGAAGCCAAACGATCGTACTCGAAGATGGCGCGATGTATAAGTACGTATGGACGTTGATTTTATTGAAATGGTTCGAACGAGAGGCGAAGAGTTGATTTTTTCCAAACCGAACTTTGATTACGTTTCATCGGAATTGTTGAAACGACAGTTAACCCATTAGCGCCCGAATTTTTTTTTTTTTTAATTTTCAATAAATTATTGTTAAGAACTTCTAAAAATACACTCCTATTAATATAAAATTGTTTTTTTTTTTTTTTTTAATTCATAGTTTTCGAGATATTTGCCGTTGCCATATGGCAACGCTGGGCATTTATCCTACCAATTTTATAACTTTTTTCACAAAATATAACTTGTATAAAATTATAAATAATTATCAAACACAATAAAATTCAAGCATAATCTGTATATTTTATAATTTTTTTTTTACTAGTTAGGAAATAAATGTTGAGTAAATATAAAAAAAAATTTCTTAGACTTATACAAAAAAATTTTTTTTTATTATTTTATAAATATAAATCATTGGGAATGAAAAGGCTTAAAACAATTAATACATAACCCAACAGAGCATTTTGAACACATTGTTCGTACAGTTGAGTTGCAATTTTTTCCGGCACATCTTTTTCTTTTTTTTTTCTTCTGTATGTTGTACCAAGTGATCAGTTTTATCATACCGTAATGTATCTGATATACGAGAGTCTGTCGAACAAATTGATTTTGATATGCGTCCTGATCCTGTGGGAGTATTTTTGTATTTTTCTAAATAAACATTTACTACTTCTCTTCTAAATTCAAGTTGAGAAATTTTTTGGTTTCCCTGTTTTATTGTATAAAATCCAACTGTTTTGCATTGCTATATCAAACATCCATGTCACTAGAGGCCAATACCATTTTTTCCCACGAACTCCAATGCGGTAACATCCAAGATTTTGATCCATTTGGTC